GTGGCTGATTCTTCACGCCCAAGTCTTTTGTTTTCAGCACGTGAAATTGAGAGATGCATACACATCTGAAACGTGCGCTCGGGGTGTCTTTTGAGTGTGTTTTTATTTTCAGTACACCGAGGTCTTGCATGGCTTCCAGGGTGCCATTTGTGGGACTTCATTTGTAAATGAATGTAAGGCTTTTCTCCATGGGGTGGAGGCATCTCTTTCCATGTTAAAATGAAATCGGTAATCAAAGCCTAAAATCAAAGTGAAAGAGATTCTTGAAACCAGTAAATCACTATTCTGTGTCATATAGAGCAGTGGTCTCCAAAGTGGGGTGCACAAGGTGATCCATTGGGGTGCGGGAAGAAAATATTAGAGCTTCTATTTATATTTATATAAATATACATATAGTGGGGGTGCAGGCTCAAAATTTTTTTACTGATACGGGTGCGCGATCAAAAATGTGTGGAGACCACTGTATTAGAGGAGGGTGTCTCATGTCCAGGCAGTGCCCAAGGGCTCAGTTTTTAGTGTGGCATCTCACTTAACCTCTCTGGATTCAGATTCTTGGTTGTGAGAGAGAGGCAATGACACTTGTTCACCCCAGCTCTTCTTCTTACCTGTTCCGACTGTAAGCGCCTTAGGATAAGGACTTTCCAACTTCATGAACATACAGGATCTTGCACAGTAAGGACCTGGACTCAGTTAGGACCTCAAACTCATGCCACAAGGACTTACTATCTAAATATCCTTTATAGAATAGGTTCCTATTGCCATCAAGATACTGAATTTCCCTTCTGTGAACAGGTATAACCCTGATGTGTTGCTGCCTGTTGGTTTGTGATAGCTTGTGTGCTTGAATTCACAGTATAATATCTTACTGCGTTTTTTTTACAGAGTACATTTATGTACATGATTCCCCATTACCTTCCAGATCAGCACGGTTAAGGGAAAAGAACTCTGCTTGACCCCTTTCTCTATTTGTGGTTTGTTTAACCTGCACAATGGACCTGCGGTCCATCAGAGAACTGCATACCTTTGCACTTAGGGAAGACCAAGCCGATTCCATTGGCACGGTGTTAGCATACGCTGTCGTGTGACTTGTGAGTACTGAAATCAAAATATGTAACTTTGCATCTCTTCTTCTTTGCAGCTCCTTCATTCCCAAGTTCATCAACCACCTATTCAAGTGCAAACCAATTAGCATGGTGGGAGCAGAACAGGTGAGAGAAACTCGTTGCATCCTGTTGTAGAGATCTCCGGGCTAAGAAGGGTATTATATAGAGGTCACGAGGTTGCTGAGGAGAGTTAGGCGTTGTTCTGTTTTATCTGAATTGCATTGTAAGTTCCAGGCAGCAGTTAGATGATGGGAGCATCCCAGGCTCTTGCCTTTGTTCCCATCTTTGCTGCATCTTGTTGTATGGCCTGGAGCACTTCCCTGTACCTCCTGCATGAGGACCCCAGGAGGCCTGAATTCCTCTTCTGAGCTCTGCCAGTCAGTTCCTCCTGTAGGCGCCTCATTAGATCAGTGCAGGTAATAAAGCAGGTGGTCCCTATCCCAGAGGGTAGAACGAGATGGAAGTGCTTATACAACCCCCAGAACTCCTCGGGTGTGAAGTGTCCCTGACAAGCGCTTGCTGTTTGTGGCAAAGGCTTTTGTGGAAAGAGTGCCTGAAAACTGAAATCACCCTCCTGGCTGGGATCTGGCCCTGACCCATGTCGCTGCTTCCTGTGCCACTCCTTACTGTGGTGCAAACGCATGCCAGTGCCTTCTCTGCTGACTCAGAGGCCTTGCTGTGTGACAGTATCATACGCGTGCTTTCCCCACTCCGCTCAAAGTCCAGCCCTGTGTGCGAGGGGTGCAGAGGGTCCTGGGCAACGGGGAGGTTCATCCACAGTTCATATAAATATCTGTTCCTGAAGGAGGGGCTGCTGCCGAATGCGCTGTCTGCAAGGCAGCGATTCCACCGTAAATATCAGTTGACTGCTGTGGCTTTTGCAAACTCCGGTCATTAAAAACCCCAGCACAGCGTAAGAGCAGCCACAATGGGAAGGAGAATCCATTTGCATAGTAAATCGTCTAGAGAGGAGCCAGTGTACGTTGGTTTGTCAACCTGGAAATTGAAGTTTGGCTGTAGTCGTTGCTGTCTTAACGGCAGAAACTCTGATCAGGGACTGAAATTTCCTCCTTCACAAAGCTCACCTCTCAGTTCTGATTGATTTCCCCTGCTTCCCCGCGCGCAGTAATCAGTCAATATCCATAGTGTTCTTAGCAGTTAATATTGTTCCTAATCCCCAGGCATGTTCATGGCCATCCAGCTGTGAAGCTGGTTGGTTAGAAATGTTGCATTTTCATGCGGCTGCTGCTTTGTAACGGTGCTAGGAGCTTTATAACCATGTGAACATCTACTAGTGACTTGCTGGCCGAGTTTCTTCTGTTACTAAATGGCAGGACTCTTACAGGTTTCTAAACTGGTGTCCTGTAGAAAAAGGAGGAATCTTTTGTAACTTGGTTGGGCACATAACTGGCAAAACAAAGTGTGACCTTGTAAGAGAGGAAGTAGAATCAGCTTTTGGAAATCAGGTTTGTTTTTAATCTCTTTTCAGAGCTACAGGTATGTTGGTGGTACCAAGTACAATTCTTGACAGCTTTGCTCGTGTTCGAGGAAAGGAGGCTGCTCTTCTAACAGCCTTTCCAGCATCTCCATAATCTTCCAGGGAGCTGCTTTTGGGACACGCGTGCTGCCGGAGGAGCTCTCACTTTTGAAACTTGTCAGGGAGGGAGCCCACGTCCTGCGTGTGAGACATGGTAGAGTTTCAGTGCTACCAGACAGCACTGCACGCCCTCCAGATGACGCTCAGCTAATGTGGAGCTCAGTCCTTTAACTTCCAAATTATAGCCAAAACATACCCCTTTGCGCCTGGGCACTCCAGAGGCGTGAGATCAGTTGCTGATGGACATGTTGCAGTGGTGAGGTGTAATTACCAGAGAATGCTTAATGAAGAGTGGAAGCATAAGAGACAGCTGACATTTTTGCCTTTACTAATTTGTTTCCCGGTTCATGGTTTGTTTGAACAGCTTTGCAGAAGGTAGGTTATGGAAACCTTGTGTGTGTGTTTGTCTGTAGAAAGTTTAGGGAAGAAAGTGTTGTGCAGAAGTGTAGGTTGCTGTAGGAGACCTTGGCTGGCTTTGGAGCGGTGCAGGGCCTATTATGCATGCATTTTGAACAGAATAGGTTGGCACCCTTCCTAGAGCCTTGGGGCTAAGTTATGTAGTTCCCCAGGGCTCCATTTGTGGTTTTCTACAGCACTGTCTTGGGGGATTTCTGTAGGCATTTGGCAGCAAAGCTGAGCCCACCAGGCTTGTATGCACTCTGCTCCGGATGGGTCTCAGCTTTTTGATCTGGCCTAGTGGCCTGAGGGAGACTAACGCAGCCAGGAGTGGACAAGGAGGACTGATTTGGGAGAGGAATGAAACGTGCTGGGGATTGAGACTTAGAGAAAAAGTCTGGAGTAATGAGGGAAGTCAAGAAATCAAGCATGGCAAGAAGAATGCGAGAGAAAAATAGTGAAGTTCAGCTTTTCGGAAAGAAGTGATTCTTGGATGTCTTCGTTTTCAGACAGTGCTGGACACCCTCTCTCAAAACTTGGCCCAGTTACAGTGCATCAGTTCGGACACCCAAGACAGAGGTGATCCAGCTCAGTCACCCTTCCTTTTATTTTTTTAATTCTTGGCATTAGGTTCAATCCACCTGCTTTGAAAACTAGTAAGTGTCTGGGTTGGTGTTCTCCTTTTAAAAACATGTAAAAAATCAGCATTGCTCTAAGGCTGAGATTTTTGTGCTAAGCTACAGCCGAGAGCAAATCGCTTTGAATGAGTTCTTAACCCTGCTCCGTGCCAGTCTTAGAATGAAAAATGCTCAGCCTCAGATGTGTTAGCTCGGATGTGACTGATCTCACGCTAAGCAGAGTCAGGTTTCTGCTAGGATGTGCCAGGGCATCGCAGATCCAGCAGGAGGTGCTGCATTTTGGAAGTGGTCTCATCAAAGATCTCCTTGTAGCTTTGCCAAGAGTTTGGGACTGGAGCGCTGCCAGCCACAGGGCCTTCTTTCTTCTCTCCCATGAAGCAGCAGATAGCAAGACATGACCTGAAGGAAGGAAGAAGTGGTGTCATACTCCCTGGGACTCGATTGATGCTTTTCCATTGAAAGAATGACCTTTTGACGGATACCCTCGTGTCAGGGGATGCACACGCCTGGGCAGAGCAGCGGGCTGTCATTACCTTTACGTTCTGGGGGCAACTGTCAGGTCTGTCACTGTCCATTCACCTGTCTCATGGACTCTTTGTTTGAAGATGTGGCTGGGGGAGATGGGCCTTCAGCTGTCTGCTGTGGATACAGCTGTTTCGCTGCAGGCTGCCTCTGATGGAAAGGCAGGATCGTCCTGAGCAGCAGAACAGTAAACTTCTGACTGGTGCCCTAGAAAGTGCCTGTTGCCAAGGAAGGGGAGGATAAGTCTCTGAGCAGCAGGCTGCCATGAAAGGAAACAGGATCTTAGAAACAAAAAAAACACTCCTGCACTTGTCTAAAATTCTCCCACTGTTTCCTAATAGAAAGCAAATGGCCCTAGTTGTACAGTAAGCCTTATCAGAGACTGAAGGCAGTTCCTAGATCTTGTCAGAATAACCAGGAGACTAAAGCGATTAACCCACTGCCAGCAGTGAATTTGTGTTTTTTAGTAAAGGGCTTGATTGTTGGTGTATTGAAATAATGTGCAACCTTTCAGCCCTCCAGTAGCAGGCATTCAAAGCAAACAGCAGCATGAGGCAGTACAGGTTTTTGTTCATCTTCAATCCCCTTCGAATCTGTTTCGTTTTAAGTGAGGCTTGTTCTCTCGGCCAGGTTGATTGGGTATTTAGGTGCAGTAAAATGGCCACTGGGATTTGCAAAGGCACCTGAATAAATTAGGTTCCTGACACCCACCTTGGGTTTTCTGAAAAGCCCACTAATTTCCTGTCTGCGTCCTCTGGTGACAAAATACTTTTGCAAGTCTGACCCTCTGTGCAATGGTTAGTGCAGCCGCATTGCTTTTCAGTGCCCTGCTGCTTTTGGAAACTGCTTTGCTCACCTGCTATTTAATAAAAGCTATGCTAGAATCCAGGCTCTGGCACAGGGTTTGTGTTAAAAATCCTGTCTGCAGGCGACTGACCTGATATCATCAGTTCATCTGGCGCAAGCCTCAAAACAGCCATCGTGGAGTCCTGATAGTCTGTCGCTGTTAACCCCGTCGAGATTTGAACTTCCATGCACTGCCCTGCCCCTCATTTTTCGCTCAAGAATGTATTAGAAAAGTCCACGTGGTCCTTGTTCTGTAGCACAAATGTTAATGCCATTCGGTCTGGCCGTTATAGGGGTTTTTACAGTACTAGTAATGTTATGCAGCCCATGGGGAGAGCAGGCATCCACCTGGCTCCAGGAGAGCCCCTCTGCAGGAAACGTGCTGTGGGCCTGAATAGCCTAACAGTTCTTC